ACCAAGCTAATATATTGCTTTTCCTCATCTACGATCTGGCGTAAACTGCTTTATCTCACCAATCGTGCTGATGTGACCAATCACACCGGCATGCATCAGTTTTTCAGAACTAGTATCTCCAAACCACTTAGTGGCAAATTGTCCTCGAAGTAATCCTCCAGGGCATCACTAGGAAAAGAACATTGGACCTTTCCATTGCATTGTGTTTTGTGTGCTTCTGTTGCCCGTTGAGACACACTGAGTGTTTCTTTTAAATTCTTTCCTGTCTATTCGTATCGGACAGGTTAATGATTGGTAGTTGCATAAACTGGATCTTTTCCAGTTAAGCCACTAATGCATAAAGAGCACGCGCAAAATGTTAAGCCCCGCCACTAAGGCAAAAAGGGTACACCTGAAAAGTCAAGCCCCATCAACAGTGCAAAAAGGGCACTCGTGAAAAGTTGAGCCCCGCCACTGTTTGCCAGCTCCAGTGTATGTAATGCATGTGAACGTGCCCCATAAAAACACTCCTTATCCGCTTCTAAGGTCATTTTTGTCCAAACAGTTTCTACGTTCGCACGTAAAACCTGACATGAACTTTCTGACGCTTTCGGCGGTCGTTCATGACAAGGAAACAGCAATACGTTTTTTGTAAAGCCATGGAGTGATTCATCATCAACGTTTATGCAGACGAGGACACCGAATGACACTTTCAACTGTTTCTGACAGGTGGAGGTGTGATGCCCGACAGTGTCGGGAAGAAATCGGTCTTCGAAAGAGAACTTGGCTGGAGCGGTCTAGGATGGATTTAAGGACAATTATCCTATTCATTTATTGCTGGGCCAAAAATCTGACAACAATCAAATTCTGCTCAGAGGAGTTATCTATTGGCCACGCGACCGCTGTCGACTGGAAGAACTTTCTGCGTGAAATTTGCGCCTGGCAGATTTTGCAGACTCCAACAATTGTCGGCGGCCCAGGTCTACATGTCGAGATCGATGAAACCCTAATATCACGTCGTAAAAACCATGCAGGGCGAGTCCTTCCCCAGCAGTGGATTTTCGGAGGGATTTGCCGGGAGACTAAAGAAGTGTTCTTGTATGGAGTGCCAGATCGAACTGCGGCCACTCTGCTGGACACAATCCAGGCCTGCATCGCTACCGGCTCAATTATCATTTCCGATATGTGGGCATCATACCAAGGCATTGAATCGATGATTGGCATGAGTTATACTCATCAAACGGTTAATCATACCGAAAACTTTGTGGATCCAACGACTGGAGCTCACACACAAACCATCGAATCTCTCTGGCACATTTACAAAATGCGGAATAAGCGCCAATGCGGCACACACCGATCTTTAGTGGACAGCTACCTGTGTGAGTTCGTTTGGAGGCAAAGACACCGAAAAATGGACCTTTTCATGCAAATGATTAATGACTTGTCTCAATTTCGCCCTCTTCAATAGAGAGTAAAAGTTCAAGTTCCATACCCTCCCTTTTCATAATCTTTTTCGGCTGGCGGGGCTTAACTGGAAAAGATCCCATAAACTCATCGAAGGTGTGGTAGAGGCCGATGCTTTTCCTTTCTCACTGGATCGCAGGTTATAAGCCCAGACGGCGCTACGTAGTACTACGCATTGTGGATGCCACATAGATTAGTGGTGACGTGTCTACAAACGTGCAATTCAACCCGAACCTAACAACAGAGCTACTAGTAGTCTTATTTATAGCAAACTCCCGGCTAATAAATGTAAACGTGTATGCAAATATATCAAACGTATATGTCCACTGTTTCACCGAGTTCGTGTTGTTACGATTGGCCTCAAAACGTTACGACCGGAGAATCCGACCCATTACTTGTTGGAAGAGTTGTATTGGAATTGAATAAGGAGGAATACGAAAAGATGCTTCGCACCTTTACAATGTTGAGTATTGTCGCAGTGCTGGGTTGACACCACACTACTCACAATCAGCCTGCAGAGGCTGGAAGTGATTGATCGGTCGATCTTTCTAAACCATTGTATCGTCGGACAATGGTGATCGCTTAATGCACATGGCGCAGGTTAGCTGTAGTTAAGGACTAAAACTTCATGCTTATAAATAAATAAAGTTTGTTCTAAACTTACTAAGCTTACTGATCACAGGCTTCCCATTTCTTCGCGTCTAACTGATGATCAAACCGAAGTTCTTCAACAATTCACAGATTGAAAGTAGTCCGATTTTAATACCTGCCCCTGTTGTACAATCCAACTCTTTCGCTGCATATTCTCCCATATCCCCAGAATCTCAATACTTTATTCTTCTTAAGTGGTTAGATAGCTTAGCGGCTAACAGCTTAACCCGCCAGAATCGCTTCCACTTCCGCTCTATGCATCTTATATCCTATTGAATCAAGCATGCAACAACCAAACTCTGACTGGTTCATGCCTCCTGTTCTCTCTCATCTATGTTCATGCAGATGGAGCTGCTTGTGGTTGGAGATTAAGTTCCATATTTGCACATCTACGCTGTGCTCAGCACTCCACATTTGTTGTTGTTTCTGTTTCCCTTTCATTTTTAAAGTTCAGTTTATGTGTATGCAATACCAAGTCTTAACACATAGGCTCCGTGTTATATGAAATTAATAATGGTCCGTTAAATTAGTTCTAATTAACATTATAAAGTCGGTACATGTGTTGTGGATGGATGTGGTTAGTAGTTACGTTAGAGTTTACCACATCTGCATGGCGTACTCATTACCTATCACTTCGCTGCTCCTTATGGCTTTGCATTGTCAATATTCCTGGAACGCTGAAATTTTAATGTTATACTGGTGCCGCTAACGATCTCTATTAGCTTTTTTGTCGTTTGGTTAAATGTAGTATTCGATAGGGCTCTATACTTTATTTAAATGGTGTGGCCAGGATTCTTCGTGTGATATGTCTTGAGCATTTTTAGTTAATTGGTTTCTCATATAACCGACCTCCACAGTCATATGTAGAAGGAAGCATTGACCATAATCTCCACAAAACGCTGTCTATCCGTCGCTTCAAGCTTCCGACAACTCACAAGCCACTACTGGCTATTTTCGACTCCCAAAGGTATATCCCTATGTATACAGTTAACCACATTCAACACTAGGTTGTCATCTTTCTTGGTTGTGATTTCGAAATCTCAGTCAGCCACTTAGATGTTTCGTCATGACTCACCGGCTCCGAGGAACGGGAACAAGAGCACACAGTTACTGCGGCAGGCGAAGTTGAGCCTCACGTCAAATTCCTAATACACGATACTCTTCAAAACCCGTCAGTCATAGCAGTATCAGTAAGAGTTTAAGCATCCCTTGATCCCTTAAAGAAATCCGCACAATTCATCCGAACCGCTTAGTGATGTTCATGCACCTCAACTGGACTGCAACAATACTACTAGTAGCATCTGTTGCTCTATATTGTGGACACTGCATTCTATTTTTGAAAAGGGTTATCATTCCTAAATATGTGTTGCGATAGTTACACTCATGACATCTTGAAATCAACCGAATGAAACCACTTGCAAGCGGATATGCACACCATTTTCGCTTTAAACTGGACGTTTTACAAACCAAACTGATGTTTAGCGAACCAAACTAGATAGTTATTTTTTAATTAAAACAAATTGCTAACAAGGAAGAAAGTACAGACGTTAAGGATGGTCAGCTGATGAAGAGTTGTCCCATCGCTGATCGGCATCATATTGAGGAAGTATTTCGCACAGTCCTGCGGTGTTATCGTTTCGACGCCTTCTTGAATGATTGCAATTAACGTCTGGTCAGCAGGCGTCTCACCAACGTTTTCACCTTCGAAAACACGTTTTCTGCTGAGTTACTGGCCCGTAGCCTTAGGGATCACAAGCTTGCTTTGTAATCTGAAGGAAAGGAAGACTAAAATGTAGTCATCCGTTCACTAAATCGACACACATAGAGGCTAATTACGTTCGACCACCGGAACCTTCGCATCTCAGCGCAAATCTGGTGCAAACACCGCGGGACTGAAGACCGTCTTCGGCGCTCGCCGCCAGGTTCCGATGGCTATGCCACACACTGACTTTTGCGACGTGCGTTGTTTACGCGACCGAGAACTAGATGAAAGAAGAGAATGAAGGTCGACCGATGATTTGCTGAAGAGGAATGAAGGTCCTTACTTCAAAGTTGGCATCGTTTGGAACTTTTTGCCTTCCTGCTTGGGGTCCGAACGACAATGAACACGTTTGGCTAGATGCACTTGTTGACATAGCGAATGGCCGACCTCATTGGCTTTTTCTCATGGGTTCCTTTGCATCTCCCCAACCCGCTTAACCTCCTCTTCTAACCACAATCTCGATCTCAATGCATAATATAAAGCAGCTCGCATTAATATCTGTGTTTCGTTTTGCCCTTGCCTTTTTACTGACATCTGATGGGATTATATTGCGACACAATAGCTTAGCTGTTTCTAACCCCTAACCCATGTGTAGCATATTTATAGTGGTCATTCTGAACATATTCGTAACGTTCGTGCTATTGACATGTGAACTTTTTTGCAGTGGGACAGCAGTACTTGTGCATCTCTGGTATGCGCCACTGTGTAGACGTTAGCTTTTTGAAAGAATTACCTTTTTCCGACCCGTTTACGGCGGCTACAAGTGGCAGTGTTTCAAGGTGCTTTATACGTATAAAGAACTGCGTTTACCGAATGCAAGCACACACTTCGGCATCTTCTAGTCTATGTTCATATCATACCTCCTCACGTTATACATGCCCATCACGAAATCAATTTTACCCTCTCCTTTCCAACCAGCAGCTTAGAGTTGTTATGTCTAACCCTTCCGCATAAACCGGTATCCTGCTGCTGCAAACTTACAAGTCATGTCTATAAACTACCACCATGGGTTGTGGTACTCCACCCAATTTATACTGCCGTAATCTAATCCATCCGCATTGACCTGCTGTCCTCATTTCTGCTTTGCTCTATCTGTGGAGCGCTTAATTGTTCTTACTATGAACTCTCGTCCTCCCTCACACAGGTTGAAACCAATGGACAGAACGAAACAGTTGCTACCAAAGACCCTCTGTTAGACTCCATTTTGAACGAACCGGCCGCTGTCTGGATCACAGATTATATCAACTTGTGTATTTGCTTCTTGCTATTTATACTAGTGTGCATCTCTGAACCTATGTTTCAGTACAATGCACTCATGAGTTCCAAAGGATCTACGAAAAAAACGTCCGTTCACTGTTTCGGGGACAAGCCAAAGTTTCTCATGGCGGATGGAGAGCCTGTTTCTGATCTGGAGCCTGCTATTCCAGACAAGTCCAAATCGGAAGCAATTTTAGTAAGTGGTTTATTTTTGATAACAGAGCTGATTCTTTATGCTTCCCGTCTTTCGAATTATTTAATGGTTTGTTGAGTACTACGGACGTCCAATCTGGATCATAATTAGCACAGTTGGCCACCTATACTTTCAGAAGACTCGCCAGAATTAGTTGTTCTCTGTTTGTTTCGTGTACAACTTTTTACTGACTCCAACTGCTCCTAGCTCGAACCTAGTTTATATATTTTAATGCACTTTCTGAGTAAACATTTAAAACAATTCTGAATACCGTATTGTATGAGCAAGTGGAGATATGATCATAAACGTTAAAAAAGCAAACTATCTATGACTTGCCGATACCCTGCTCATTTTTTCGCATCGTCACGTGATATCACCAAATATCGTGTAGGTCACAGTTACTTGGGACTCACAAATGTGAGATATCAGTGGATACTCGTTTTCGGAATATAACATTTGAGAAATGCACTTCCAAATAGTTTGTACAGTTGAACTGAGTTTGCTTCCAATATATGCTCCGGCAAACCGTTTCTGACATTTACCACTCACCGTTCAAATCACAGGGTATGGGGAACTCGCTTCAAATCTGGTACCACAAGCTTATACTGGTATCCGCATATGCCGCAAACTTTTTGCAAGCGGTGCGGTTTCCTTAGTATGGGGATGTCACCTAGGTCTAGAGTGCAGTATATTGTGACAAGTTCGACTCTCACCCGATGAGAGGCCAGAGTATGTAATCCTAGCCTCTCGCACCTGTCCTTATACGGTAAGCTCCGCAAACTGGAATGAGCATGGTAGCGACGTGTTGGACCCGTTCGATCTTCTGGGCGTTACCCTGAGTGCTCGGGCAATAGGCGAGTGAGTTATCCTCTAGCATTGGTCTGATGATAGGGGAGAAGAGGCGAGTGATGATGTCTGGGAGAAAGTAAGAATTGCCTAGAAAATCCACCATTTTAGCGATTAATCGATTATTAACGATCATCACATCGATTTCGAACGATCTGAAATGTTCTAGTTTCTGCACGTGACAAAAAACCACATGGCAGCTCGGCAAAAGCTCTGGGGAACCACTAACCTTGGTACCTGACCTTCCAATTCTAGAAGTCGAAGATCAATAAGAGGCCTATAAATAGAGCCAAGGTCCGCGGTAGTTGTACAGTGTTTGTTGACAGCGAGTAGTACGTTCTTTTTCAAGGTCATTGGCGTTCTGCTTTTTCCTTCGGTTGGTTTAGAAGTTTTGTGGAGCAGTAAGTGTCAACTTAGGAATCGCGTCAAATGTGAAGATTATAGCAGGTGATCTCTTCAGACCAGATGCAGAAGCTGCGTTTGACCGCCCAGTCCGTTTCGGTGTGTCTTGTTCGTGTTGTCCACGGACTTCAAATGGCAACATGAGAGCAAGACCGGGTTCTTCATGGAAGGTGTGGGATGTAGTAGCTGTAGGTTCAACCATCACCACCCTTCCTCAGGCTCATGAACACCAACTTGGATGGATTGACCGGGAGGCGGACTTCTGAAGACTACATAGAAAGGTGATTGAGGTCTTACTGAAGTAGGCCACAGTCGTCGGACGTACTTACCACTCTCCAAATCTTCTGATCGTCTGCAAACAAGGCACACGGCGACCGAAAAAGCTGCGGTAGATCTTTCATCTAAATGAGGAACAATGTAGGTCCAACACCGCACTTTGGGTACGCCACTGGTCGAAGGATACCAGTCGGCCAGTTGGCTATCTGCTTGCAACCTCCACTTTCGTCCAACGAAAATCTCGCGGATCCACTGGTGCATTGAGCCGCCAACACCTCACACACAGATTGAGGAGGAGGACCTCCTGCTTCAACTTGTCGAACGATTTGCTGAAGTTGCTGTAGACTTCTCTGGTTTACTGCTTGCGACCATTCGTGCCTCGTCACGAGCATGAACCGTCTGGCATAAAACTGTGCTGTGTGGGCGTCGAAATATCTTTTGACCGGAACATTTGTAGCAAACTCTTCTTCACAATTCTCTCGGCAATCTTGGCTAAGGTGTCAAACAAATTGACATGTAGGTGCCCAATCTGCTGGAGTCACCGCCTTCGGGAATCGGCCTTACCACCGAGTATTCCCAATCAATCGGCATTGAACCTTCGGACAGCGACCTATTAAACGGGTCAGTTACGGCAGGCGAAATGATGTCCGATAAGGACTTGAGAATCAGGCTCGGTACTATCAAGATTACCGCACCTCTTCCACGCCACAATCCAGATTGTCTAATTCCGTTATGGCGGTGCATACGGAAGTCGGTACGGATACCTGGTCATTTGCAAACAAATAAGCAAGGTGCGCCTCTAAGGCGGACGCACGCTCAATCCGGGAGATTAGGGGTTGACCTCCGGAATCCTCTGTCACTGTTGGGTCACGTGTCGAGTTCAGGCACCGTTTCTCCGTGTTAGCATTAAAAACTGAATGGTCGCTTGTTGCCAGCAGCTCCAGGACCCGAATACCATACACATATTGTTCACAGCTGTTTGACATCAAGTCTAAGCACGACGGAGTTGAGCGCGGTTATGTGCGTCGGTTTGCAGATGTGTTGTGCTGCCCCAGTTTCAAGTACTATCTCAGTGAAATTGGCTCTTCCTCACAATATCCAGTGATAAGTTGCACTGTGAGTAGAAAATGACGACTCATGTGGTCCCGAAGATGCGGCAGCGTATCCAAACAATGTTTCAGGGTACTGCGATAAAATGCACCCATGAATAGCCCTCCGCACCTCAGATGGATCGGGCACCGCCACCGCTCACGCGCGCCATCTTCGCTTCGTTGGGCGTTCACAAGTCTCCCACCCAGAGATGATCGGATGTAGAACAAGACGCCACCATGGGCATTCGATAACCTATCACGAACAGGATTAGCCACTTAGCTGAACTTCATGGGTGAGAACCTCATCGTTCAATTACGTTTCTGCGAGTTTCATTCCATCTGGTCGCTCGAAAGTAACGAAGCAGCACAGCTCATCGCGCTTGAAGATTGAAGACGTTGCTAAAGGCTACACGCAGACTGTGGTAAGAACTACCGGGCATGTCTGAAGAGTGAGGGACCGATTTATTAAAATTCGTGTTCGCTTTGTAACCACCCGCCGCTTCAGCTCGATGATGGCGCACATAAGGCGCTCCCTGTCAGTTGGAACTATATTTGAACGAAAATGTATTCTCTCGCCTCTCAATGTACTCTGCCGACACAGTATCGGGTTCCTGGTTGGCCTCGTTGGCAAAAGTTAACCGCATAGGTCGGTCGTTCTCAGAGGTGTTTTTGCCGAGGCGGATGATTTGCTTCACTTTCATTTCTCCCTCCCTCACATCGAAGAGCCTGTCGACCAGGCTCTATAATAACTCTACGTCATGATCATAGCGTGCCTGAGGACCTGGATCGTTAGACTCAGATGCGTTAATCGATGGCGCATCATCAGCGCATGCTTCCTTTCCGATCGTGAATCTGGTATTTGCATCCAAAGCTGTTCCTAACCTTTGTTGTAAAGTTGTCTGTCACCGATCACTATCTGGTGCCGCAGTCTGATGCTACAATCCAACCGGGGAAGGAAGACGGGAATCAAGTCTCAACTGAACAGCGTGGCGTAAGGACCGACTTATAGACCAAACACGCCTTTTCAACAACGTCTCTGCCTTTCACTTCTCTGTGCCTTTTTCTCTTTCGATTATCTATCGCCTGGTTGGTTGCCTATCACTCGTTCCATATTTGGCCGTTGTTCTCGTCTGCTGCGTTGCCGTAGTGCACCGTAAATGGCTACCTGTTCGCACGGGCGGACGTGGGTTCACCAGTGCCGAGAATGACGAACTACTTCCGTCTGATTCTCACGCGGCTAGCTACAGGCGCGTTCAGCGACGTGAGACCCTGTGTCCGCGTTTGTTCGGTGTGGCTATCAAACGACCTTTTAACGCAGCGGCTCTCAACCCGGGGGTAACTACCCCCAAGGGACTGAAATGGAATTTGACGGGGGATAAGTATAACTCCGAGGATTGAGTCATCGATCCGTCGCCAAACAACTCTAACAACAAAGTCATCTGTACCAAAACATTTAATTAAATGCCTAATCATTATTGATTAGAAATCAGTGACTAGGCTCTGGTGAGTGGTCATGGAATTGGCCAAGTTTCAGCAACAAATTTTGTTGCGTAATATACAGATACATACTGCAAAGTAACACAACTAGATGGCACCTCCATCGGTTCGCTCGTCGATCGTAGTTCTTTTGAGTCACGCATTCGTTTGTCGGGTTGAGTAACAGAGTTGAGTGAGCACTAAGTTGGGAGCATAGGTCAGTCGACCAGGTAACAAAAATGTGTGTGTGTGTGTGTGTGTGTGTGTGTGTGTGTGTGTGTGTGTGTCAGACGTACGCCGCAACGGCACTTCGCTGCCGCGCGCCCACCCCTACGCGCATTCGAACCGGTGACCTTCTGGTTGCAAACCAAACGCGCAGACCACTCGGCCACCGGCCGATCGACCAGGTAAACGAGCGAGCGAATGTTTACCAGGTAGAAGGCACAAAACGGGCGATTAGTGTTCATGATGTATCAATACAGAGTGGTGCCGGGAAGCTGTTGTCTATAGTCTGGACTTAGAAGGGATGGTTGAAACAAATGAGAGGCAACTAATATCTGTTCATGTTTGGTCAGGGATCACACACCAAAGCAAGGAACCCAATTAATTCGGAGCACGACTTACGATGTGCATTAGCCGGAACCGCACCAAATATACCATAACTTGTTGGAACCAAGCATTATCAACGATCTCATTAGCTTACATCACCTCTTGATTTAATACAAAACTGCTCTAATATTAGGTCTTTTCTTCATTCGAATGATAAAGTTAATGAGGTATAGTATTCATTTTCCGCCATTTAAAGCATAAAACGCAATAGTTAATGGTAGATTAGCATTTAAACCAAGACATTTTGTGGGTAATTGTTTATAGTGAGCCAGCTTTGGGGGTTACAACCACCAAAAGGTTAAG